AGCCCCCCCCCCCCACCCCAACCCGCACCCCACTTACTTGTTGCAAGATATTGCGGACTTCCGCGAGTATTGCATGCGACCTTGAACGAAGTGGAAAGAACAATGTAGCCAAACTCCACCTCTTCTTAATAGCTGCCTTGGTATGTGGACACTGTGTGTGTACGTATGGATATCTTTGCCATATTTATGCTATGACGCATAGCTAGCCACATTAAGGGGAAGGTGGGATAGCGCGTGCGCATTTAGAGGTGACTGAGGTTATAGTACGCCATGGGCACTGACTCATCATCTCTCACTCTTGGCTTTGTGTTTTGTACAAAGGAGGCAGATGAGAGGAATGGAGGGAGCTTTTTGGGAGAAGGTGAATGGAGCTCCCGATGATATTTGCAAATTAACAAAACAAAGCGCACCTAGTAGTGAAGGCTTTACTTTGATTGAAAATCTCTCGTAACTACCATTCGAAAAGCACCACCTCTATTTTGCTCACAATTGTCAATATTTGAACAAAGAAGGCTGAATCATTATATCCTATCGACTGAGTAACGGGGAGGGGGGTGAAGGCTTGTGGCCATTACAGAAAGAAGCGTAGTGCTTAAGCTGTAGTAGCTATGAGAGTCATTAAATTCGCAAGAGTTTCTGGGCTGATAAATTGGACCCAAAAACAAATCGATCCTCAATAGTAAGCTGTCGTAAAGGGTTGAAAAGTAGATATCTCAACCGATTACTGAAGGTGCATAAAGTGAAACCAGCTGCTATCTCTGTGGAAACAGAATGGAAAACCGTGGGGTTAAATCTAGTAAGGAGTGGTATAATCTATACCCCAGTTATACCTGTATTCAAGATAGGTACTCGAAAACACATTAATTAACTCATTAGTATACCTAACACTGAGAATTTTAAACCCCTACTTATGGTGCCAGCATAGCGTTTTAGAGGCCATGATTTCTGCCTCATAGAAGAGAGTGAGATAGAGTTGAAGTAGTACCATTACTAAGACATAGTAGATATAAAAAGACGTGATAATGTGGTCTAGACATATCCAACTGTCACACTATTTAACCCCACAATGTTTTTTGAACATCCGCTCAACCACTGTCTTACTGTCTGAACATCTCTAGACCTACCCACAAACTGGAGACTTCTATTTCATCTTGAAATCCGATTTTCAAGGTGATTTCAAGTACAAATTTGGGGAAATTCAACGAAAACACATTGAATATATCCTAATGGCAGGAATAATTATTCACGGCAGAACCAAATGCTGACTTGAATGTGGAAGGAAGAGGAAACAGATGTCCCTCCCCCCTCCCTCACCCCACCCTCGACCAATTGCCCCTCTAACGCCAACAGGAGACAAAGGAGAGCTTTGAAGAGAGGCGGGAGAGATTGGGGGTGGGGGGGGGGGGAGAAGGGATCAGGAAGGGGCGGGGGGTTGGGGAGGGAGAGGGAGGAGATGTTGTTAGGCAAAAGTGGTCTATTTTATATCGACAATTAAGTCATAAAACACAAGCTTAATCCCAAAGGAAATTCATATCCAAAATAGCTATCAGACAGAATATGCCTCTATACTGTTATCTTGAAGCTAAGTTGTCACAGGTGCTCAGACAATGAGTAGGCTTCCATGTAGCCATTTTATTACCGAGCCACACTGGTTATACGAGTTTCGGTTGATTTCTCATTTACTCAAATTTATAACACTGGAGAGGTCTTCATTCAAGCAAGCGAGAACTGTGGTAGAAACAACCGAGTGATCGAAGAACGAATTCCGTTCACTAAATTTCAATGAATTCAGTTCATAAAGAAATGAACTGTAAGGGGTTGCTTCTTTATTAATAATATGGCTGATAGACGAAAAAGAGAGAGAGACAATGTGCATCAATAAATTTTCGAATTCGCCGAACAAATTCCCGTCTTATAAGTGATCAACGATGAGGCCTATTGATCTAACACATTAAACAGAGAGAGTAGTTGATTTGCTATTTGTTATTCATAGCCAGGGAGCCTGGTAATCGATGTAAGTAGTAATGAATAGATTCCATTAAATGCCTCACAGTAACGCCAAAATTAACATGGAACGCAATTGGAAGAGAAAAGGAAGCAATTAGCATAATTAAGGGATGGTCAGATAATAGAAAAAAAGATAACATTATGAAGGTCACATCATGGCTTGCACAAATAGTGCCAGACTAGATAATGTCTGTTTTGCCTAATCTGGCAGTAAAAGAACTGAGCAAAAGGTGGCCTAAATTGGGAAATGTTCAATAGATAATGATTGTAATAGACTGCACAAATACATCAAACTTCTCAATTTTTTCATGAAATATTGCTGGTACAACATTTAATCTAATTAGGGATGGCATAGTTAGAAGTAGACATTCTTTCATTAAATTGCGTCCAAAAATGGGGATAAATGTCCTAGCGCTAGACATGACTAATCTCTCCATTTAATAATAAGTAACAGCGTCAACGAGAAAGCATGTTATGAGTACTAGATAATGTAGAGACTCTCCAAAGTTAGTACTAAGTCATGGCTATAGCAAGCAAAGAATGTTGTCAACGACAATCAAAGGGACTGGCAGTGTCAATTCCCATTCCTAATATCATAGTCGTCCTTTTCCTCATCATCCTCGAATGAATTTTTAGTGAGGACAAATGTTGTTTTATACGAATATTTTAAGCAGGAAAAAAATAACGTTTGCGAACTACCGACTGGATCACGATCTCCCGAGTGCAACAATTAGCCCGTGCCTTCAGAATGTCGTCTTAAATAGTGTTACTTCAATGAACAATTTGAAAAGTAAAAGCCCATTTTCCTGAACTGGAAAGTGGAAACACTAAATTCCAGAGACCAGGTCACACCGCCCATCTTAACAACTGTAGATATGCATAGATTGTCTGAATAATATAGTGAATAGAGCCCTTCGCGTAATGAATGAATATATCGATGGAGTTTGGAGTGAAAGGCATAGACACAGGTACCTTCCGCAGGTTGAATGACACGACTAATTCAACGAATCCTGCAATCGAAATCATCTTACACAGCGGAAAGGGAGAAAAACCTTCGCTTGGGAGTTGTAATTTGTAGCTTAATGCCTATATAAGAATTTTGCAGCCAAGACACAATTAAAACCCCTTGCAATAAGACCGGATTGAGAGGATTCAAAGTTCTCGTAAGTTAAATCATCTTTGATATTACGAATGGAGAAGCGGTTAAGTCATGATTCAAAGCACTAATAACTAAGATCACCAAGCCCTTATGACACAGGTACACATTCAACTATCAATCAAAACATTCACTTCAAATGTCGATAGCCAAAAATAAGATATATACAAAGGCTGGTTGAGTGAATGAACTAATCACACCAATTTTTTTTCAGCAAGAATCAAAATAGGGATAATCTAAAAGAGTGCTTCAGCCAAATAATTCAAGGAATACCTTCTCTTACTCTGCAATATTTTAGATGGCATAATTAGACGCCTATGAAAGTCAAGCTAAGTTATAGTTAGACATAAGTCACATACTTTAAGGCCCATTTCCACGGCTTTGAGTTTGAGTTTTTCCTCCAATTCATCGGCTCGAATACCTTGGAAAACGATGGGACTTTCACCCGGTGGTCGATCAAGAGGAAACCGAGCAAGAGTCAGAAATCCATCCAATTGAGTGGAGTGATGCTTGACTAATTCCACAGGTCCGGGGAATTTTCGACCTTTAACAAAGCAGGAGATAGAGAAAAAGTAAATTAAATTTTGAAGGGTATGAACTCCTAGAAAGTGAACACAAACCACAAAAAATGCTCTAAATTTTACAGTAACTTCACTTTGGTAGCAAACGGGGTGTGGAATTGACTTACCTCCTCGTGGTGCACTCTGGGCAGCGGAAAGTCTATTAACTGGTAGTTGACATCTCACTTCAAACTACCATCACCTCACTGTATGTCATATT